TTCAAACATTGCAACACAATTAATTTGTGCGACTAACGTTGGCTAGTTAGATTGCCAATTTGTCTAATAAGCAGAGTAGCTACTGTAGGTGGGTTGGGAGTCTGAACGATTTCTTGCAAATACCTGTTTTGAAAACTGACATCACTTCTACCTTTTTTTTTTTTTTTTTAAACACTGCTGATTTACTATGGGTACTGGATTTTAACTATATTCTGCAGACACTGCTGATTTACTATGGGTACTGGATTTTAACTATATTCTGCAGACACTGCTGATTTACTATGGGTACTNTGGATTTTAACTATATTCTGCAGACACTGCTGATTTACTATGGGTACTGGATTTTAACTATATTCTGCAGACACTGCTGATTTACTATGGGTACTAGATTTTAACTATATTCTGCAGACTTTAGGCAACTGTCCACAGCAGGAACTCAGAGCAGGTGCAGGCATTTACAAGAACAGCTCCCTAATTGGTTATTTCAGCCTTTCTGTCTCAATTGCAGTGTAGGATCTGACAGCTTCGAATGCAACTTCAACTCTGAGTGCCCCAAAAAATTACAACTATTACTTCCTTCCTTACTAACTTTACATCTGTGACAACATAGAAAATTAAAAAAATTAGGGTGAATCATATTAGCCAGTAGGGGAAAATTTACATTGAACATGGCGACATTGGCCACAGGAGCAGACTGCTACTCGTTGTGTACATTAAGAGGGCAAAAAAGAAAGAAAGATGTTTGTTGTCCTCTCTGAATTTAACCAGTCAGTAGTGTTTTTTCCAAGTTTCACAAATAAGTGCTGAGCCCCATGCAGTCGTGTTTTCAGGGCTGCTCAGAAGTCCATACCCGACAGTAGGTACTGTTTTCTCCCCCCAAAACAGCCCTGAAAGAGGTTCTACAGGCAGTTTTTGCAGATGGAGCACACACAAAGTTCCTGAAGTGGAAGACAGTTTATTTTGCTGGAAAGACATGTAAGTATTGAAGGTTTGTTTAAATAATTTTTTGCAGATTTAATCGGCATAAAGAAAATTTTGTTTCGGTTGTGTAAGAAAAAAAAGAAGAAAATGCCTTTTGTTATTGGCCTTTACTGCACCGTTAAATATCTCAATGGACTGAGGTTTACTTCTCTTTTGTAGTATTTGAAAAGGTATTCAGTTAAATAAAACAGAAGGATGATTTGCGAAACTAAAGTTTTACCTTTTACATAGGTTTTCAGTTTGTGTCATGAATATGATGAGGTTTCTTAGTAGGTTTTGACTCGGTTTGATTTTCGGCTAAGCAATGAGCTCGGTTATACAAAGTTATCTTCATACATGTACAAATGTAAACGCAAATGAACACTTGTAATATATGTATTAGTGAAAACACTTGAGTGTTTCTCTCACCATGAGTGAGGTTTCTCCCCTTTGTATTCATCTTCAGCTGCTGTAGCAAGTCAAGCTCTGCTCTGCCATGAGAAGACTTCATAGATGAAAAATATTTCATCCAGCCTGAAAAGAATTGTCGGTACGTATTATCAGTGTGTGGTTACCTGAGATCTAGAAGGTCACCAGGTTCACAAGGTGTCTCCTAAAGCTGCCAACCAGCTGTTCATTTCATGCAGGGGAATGATAGGTAAAATGCTATACTGGCTGCTTAAGTCGAACTGCCTGGATAGACCTGAAAGATCACATATCACATATTTGATTTTTATATTTTCATTTGTCTGGCTGTATTTTGAGTTGGCAACAACACAGAACACTGGGAAAAATAATGTATCGTTAACAGTTTTCTTCAAATCTAATCTGGACAACCATCAAGAGTAGAACAAACATTCCTGAAACAGTTTGTTTTTACAGTTCTCAGTGTAAAACTAAACAGAAAAAGAAGGAGCATGAATGAATATTAATGTTAAGACATGTCAGGATCAGTCAGTCTATTCATTTTTTAAGGCGGATTGATTTTGTTGTGTCTAGCTTTGTCATAATTTAATGATAGAGGCAATGCTGAGCATACAGAAAAAAATCTCGTCTACAGAACCTAAAGCTGTTTTTAATGTGCGAGGTAAGGTAAGCCTTGTGTGAATATGACTAATATTTATAAATCGTGCTTCCCTGCCACGATTCTCAAACCAGCCTGGCAACACAGTACACATTTGGCAGATTTCTCATTGTTTGGAATCTAATATAGCAGACAATGGAAGTTCTCACTCGATACACATCTGTTTGCCATGGAAGTCTGCATGCAATTGTCTGTTTCATAAAAAGTGTGACAGCTCAGGTATCTTTGAAATCTGACATAAAACAATCTGTTTTACGTCATACCAAGCACATCTGGTTATGAAAAAAGACAAATGCACATTAATATTTTACACCAGTTTTCCATGAAATAATCTTTCGGCCATATTGCTGTGAAACTTAAATTTTGCAAACGCTGCCTCGCCTTTAAAAGCAGCAACATCCTTCCCAGGAATTTTCAGTGGAGTAGCATGAAAGCAAATAATTGCACTAAATCACTATTTTATGTGACATCACTATTCATTTTCAGCAATATTACTGAAATAACTAAAGAAACAGAGACATGGATGGCAGTACAAAGGTGTGGATCCAGTCCACAGTACACTATGAATTCATACCTGCATGTGTAAAACAGGATGTTAGACTACACAAAGTACATTGCAACAAATAGACAAAAACTAGCAATTACATCGGTCACTGTCACATCTGTTAGATGGTGAAAAAAAATAAGAAAGTTTTCAAATATCAACACATGGTTTTTCCTAAGCCTTGAAATCCCATTATCAAAAAAAATGAGAAAAATTATTATTACAAAACAACTAACAGCTAAGCAAATGTTACACAGCTGTAGCTTGAGGGGGCAATGTCAGATGGGAAGGAACTCCTTGTGCACTTTCTATGACCTTTACATGTTCTGGCTCATCAAAAAAAACATGAATGAAACAATCATTAATTTTTCACAGTGGGTATTTTCAGTGGGAAAGGGAGTGTGTTTTAAAACAAAATGAAATACAACAAAAATGGAAAAAATCAAAGCCAAAAGTCTCTTTACAGGTCCCTCTCAACAAAGAAAACTTTTCATGGGTTTAAGGTTTCGTTCATAGGCTGAACATTTTCTACAAAAAAAGTTTAAGAGTTGTTTTCATAAGTCTTTGAAAATACTGCATATTTCAGTGTGAAAGGTATTAAAATCACAAAGTGCATATATATACACATAGAGAGAGAAAGATTTATAATATGTTCACAGAACAATCTGACAATGCTGACATCTGATAAAGTGCATACTTCAGCTGGGATACTAGCCTATCCCAGCAGACTTTGAGCGATGGCAGGGGACACCCTGGACAGGTCGCCAGTCTATCACAGGGCTACACTTAGAGACAGACAATCAAGCACACTCACATTCACACCTGTGGACAATTTAGAATCACCAATTAATCTCAACATGTTTTTGGACTGTGTGGGAGGAAGCCGGAGAACCCGGAGAGAACCCACGTTGCATGGGGAGAACATGCAAACGCCACGCAGAAAGATTCCGGTGCAAGAAGGTTGCCGGTTCGCGTCCCGGTGCCCCCACCAGGACGCAAACCGGCAACCTTCTTGCTGCGAGGCAACAGTGCTAACCAACTGCACCATCTTGCAGCCCTGCAATTGTCTACCTAATTAAAAACATGACTGGTTTTCTGCCAATTCAGTTTTACACTGCCAGTATTGCAGTTGATATAACACAGACAAGAACAGTAATTGGTCGACTGATATTTTTCACAGAGAATATATAATTAATAAAGAATTTTCACTTTGATTTGGTCGAAAACTAAACAGATTTTCATGTATATTTCATTATGGGACAACATACGACCTAAAGCTGGCTATGTCAAATTTACTTCATAGTGCACCTCTCTGATGCCTAAAATGTGTGGTTTCCTTTACATTAACAAAGACATTTTCATCTTAAATTATTGCAGAAAAGTCACATATTGGTGCATGAACCACAAGAATTGTAGAAGTGATGTGTCTGACACTTTATTTATTTTTAATGGAGGGATGTTGTTGCTTTTTATTGTTTAATATTGTGCCCTCAGAGGTCTCCTTGTAACTTGCGCGTCTCCAACCTCCTAAGCATACGATACTACTATCATTTTACCTAATTTAATGCTAATTACATACTTTACCCAACTCTTAGCAACCAAGTTAAATTGCATGACTGTATGACTGTTTAGATGGAATAAACCTTTAAAACTGTATATACTTGGACAGAAAGGTGGAGGTATTTTAGGTGAATAAACATTTAAACCTATATGTAGTGTACATATAGTATAAACGTTTCAAACTACAACTTGTGGAAGTTGGGTGAAATAAAATTTGAAGCCAAAGGTATTTGAATGGAAAGTAGTATTTTGAGTGAAATGAAGTTTTGAAACGGAATAAACCTTTAAAATTTAAGTGGTTTAACAGAAACTAGCATTTTGCGTGGAATACAGATTGAAACTGCCGTGACCATGCACTTCTTCAGTAGGTGGCGCTGTCGCAATAAACAAGGGTCCTAATGCAGTCCCAGTGAGCTGCCTGCACAGAATATTGAAATGAAACCTTTCCCCATGAACGTAAACATTTGTGTGTGTGTGTGTGTGTGTGTGTGTGTGTGTGTGTGTGTGTCAAATGAACACATGTCTGTCATGTTAATATTAACACAGCGACTCAATACTGTTACAATTAAATTGAGTAGAAACTTCTCTGGCAGCTCACATTCCTCAACAAGCTAGTTTGAACACTATCATTGACTCAGTATTTAAACCTAGCTTTAACGTGGCTGCTTATACAACCGGCGAACACAGACTTCTCCGTTTAAACTACGACAACGACCTGACAGTTGACTTTTTTTTTTTAATGTAATTGGCAGTATTTGTGTCAAAGTACCTTGTGTGCAGTTCATCTACTGTCCGCCTCAACACGTTCGCTGCTTCGCAACGGCGAACTGAATACGGAGCAGCACTTCCGGCGTAGAAGAAGAAGCCGGTGCGCATCATTTAGCAAACACTGGTAGGCACGTTTGTATCATGATTGTGAGCTAGTGGATTTAACTGAGCTAGAAACACACTAGCATCCATTTCTTGTCGATCTTTGCTATCACTCAACCTAAGCTGTGTTTGCTATTTTTATGTCTGCTAACGTTAGTAGCTTAAAATGCAAAGGAAATGCCATGCTTGCTAGCAAAAGCTAGCTTCACTGGGATGAAGGAGGTAGTTGTTAGCTGCAGTGTGTAAAGCTGTGGCAGATGTGCAATGTGCTGTCTACTGTCAGAGCTAGAAAAGAAAGAGAACCGTTGTTCGCCACATGTTGTCCTCTCACGTGCTAGCTAATACATTGCATATAGCTGTGTCTAGCTCACTTTACAACAAGTCAACAGCTTTCTCACATTAGCTAATGATCAGTTTGAGTTAGGGTCAGGCATCAACAAAGCTTTGAACGTTATTTCCTGTTTTTTTAATCACGACTGTCAGTTAAAATGTTTTTTTTAAAAACACTTAATCAAACAAATATGTTTGCACAGTGACTCTGCTCATACTATGACAGTGTGTTGAGCCTGAATGTTGAATGTTTCATACTTAAACCAAGAATGAATAATGTGCTGTCAGGAAAAATTATTACTCACTCACTATGAATAAGAGCTGAAAGATTTTCAAGATGAGTTCACTCTAAGAAACAGTCAAATAAGGTCAGCGCATCGTATCACTGATAATAATAATAATGAAATTTATACCTGGCAAACACAAAACTGCAAGAAAAGCCAATAAAAATATATTTTTAAAAAGTTAGAATGATGTGTATGAAATAACAATAATAAATAAAAAAGTTAAAATTAAATTGTGAGTGATAATGTTTTTACAATGCTCAAATCAGCAAACCATACATACAGATGGGTGATAAATGAAAGGAAAAGCCAACATAAAGGGTTTTAATTAGATATTGGGCCACCATGTGCTGCCAGAACAGCATCAGTGCACTTTGGCATTGATTGTCTAAATCGCTGGAACTCTGCTAGAGGGATGAAACAGCATTCTTCCAAAAGATATTCCCTTATTTGGTGTTTTAATGATGGTTTTAGAAAGAGCTGGTCCAAAATCTCACTTAAATGTTCAATTGAGTTGAGATCTGGTGACAGTGAAGGCCATAACACACAGTTTTCATACTCATCAAACTATTTAGTGACCCCTTGTGACCTTGCGTCATCTGAAAGAGAACTCTCCCATCAGGATAGATGTGTTTCATCACAGGATTAAACAACTCAGAACAACTTTGTACTGATTTGCTGGCAGCCTTCGTTCCAAAGGGTCAAGTGGACCCAAACTAGGCCACCAGATTGCGCCCTGCAGCAAAACGGAGCCATCAGATCCTCTCAGTGTAAGGGCCAGGGGTTCAGGTTTTTCTTTTAGTTTGTCACTTTTCTGTATGTATACATACATCTATACACAAGCTGCCAACTAAGTGATAGGAAAGGAAGGAAATTACTTAAGAAGGTATCCACAGAAAATGCTTATTGATGTGTCTTAATTCAACATCTCATTTAAGAATTAAGGTCCCGTAACAGTAAGCTTGAGGGATGAAGCTACATTTTCTGTGGGATTTTAGTTATTGTGTTTTACTCATATGAAACTTTACAACAGGATGGCATTAAGCTACATCATAAGCTAAAATCCTAGTCATAAACCAATCTCATCACAATGTTAATGTTGCATTAATATACCCAATATCAGCCAACTCACTTCACTTATCTGAAAAAAACACTCCTATGACCTTTGGAACACCTCCCACCTCGATAAATGGCTTTTCCACGTTATTACGCCACTTAATTTTAAAGTTATGCAAATGTTGGCTTATTTATGTCTGTTAATTTCGGATCATTTGTTTGCTCATTCTTCCTCAGCTTTGAATGTCCGGCCAACATATTCCAAGTCTGTCAACATTTAAAGAGCAAGAATGAGTAGCCTGGATCAAGACCAGCGTCTCCATCCTGGTTGCCGTGACAAAACAACAGTCTCCAGTGATTCATCGGACACTCGTGAGCTCGCCAAGCAGCCTCTTCAAGGTCTAAAATTGGCGTCACATGCAGTGCTGGAGGAAGCGCAGCACAGGGGCAGGTTGAAGTGCTCTAAATGTGGAGGATCAAGGATGTTCTTCTGCTACACATGCTGCGAATTAGTGGGTGTCAGCCTGCAAGAAATCCCCTTAATAAAGGTCAGTAAGAGGGTAGGATTGCCTTGATTGTTCTTTTACCAGAGGCCTTCAGCGGCGCCTTAATGTGGTGAAAAATGTTATGCCTTTTATGTGAGACTATGAAATTTATGTGTGCAGGGTGTGGTTGAACTGTAGCTGTCTTCTTGACGTGACTCTACATATTTCATGTTGTGCTCAGCTTCCCGTGAAGATAGACATCATCAAGCATCCCAACGAGACAGATGGCAAGAGCACTGCCATCCACGCCAAGATCCTTGCACCCGGTGATGTCACCATTTATACGTATCCCTGTATACCTGAGTTTGAAAAGGACAAGGTTAGTGGGGTTCTTTTTCATCACAAAAGAATGAAGTTTAACTCTTCCACCTGTTTTTAAAGCTTCTTTTTTTTGGTATTATCACCTTCATCAGATAGTTACAGTAGAGACAGACAGGGAACACGGGGAAAGAAAGCAGCAAAGTGACATTAAGAAATTTCTAGCAGGCTGGGAATTGAACTAAGGAGGCACTGCTGATGGCATTTGCACCCATGTGATGATCACTTGGCCACTGTGAAGCTGTGCTTTTTATCACCACAAATAACAGTTCTATTCATCAGAGATTATTCTGCCCATTACTCTCCAGATTAATTGTTAGGTTTAGGAAATCAAAAATAGGCAAAACATTGCAAAAAGTACCCATTAGATTTCTCTCAAGCCCAAGGTAACATCTCCAAAAGTCATGTGTTGTCCAAAGAAAATCAAATTAATAACACACAATACAAAGGAAAGCAGCAGTTCTTCATTGTTAAGAAAATATAACTACAAAATATTTGGTGTCTTTTGGTTAAAAACAAGTGGAATTGATTATCAAAATAGTTGCCAAAATAGCCAACTAATTTATGAAATGTTTCTCTCTAAATAGTTTTTATGGTCTTCATATTTCTGCAGCTTACTTTTTGTCTCAACTATCAGGATAATTCTTGTCACTGTACCATATTCAGTATATTCATTTGCATTCTTATGCAAGCAGCTGCTTTTCAGTTTTCATGCCATAAATATCCACTAATTTCACCATGGAAATATGTTTTCTATGCATTATGTACTTTTGTATTTGTTGTAGCGTAGCTAATATAAGATTTTGATCTGTACTTTATACAATTTTATAGTGAAAAAATATAGAATCTTTAAAAAGAAAAAAAGAAGAAGAACTTTGAGTTGCTGCATTTTCAGATTCCATGCTTGACAAGCTTAAATTTGATAGCAGTAGATGTGTCAGATACAATCACATTCTGTAATTTCACTTGACTTGCGGAATTACAGTGTTTCAGTTTACACAGCATGTATCTTTATTGTATTTGACAGTTTCAGACTCATTTTTTCCTCTTGCTTTCTCATCCATTTTACAGGATTGAATGCTCCCGTGTTTTCGCTTTTTCAACTTTGCCTCCTGTCAAACTGTTTACTTCTCTGTCACGGCTTCCTAAAATGTAGCTACCGTATAAGAATCATTGCACTGTAGAAACAACATATGTTTGGAAAACATGTTTTTGTACTCCAGACTTTGCTCATGCATGTTCCACGCCATCTCGCTGCTCTCTCCAGGTGGTGTTGGTGTTCCCTGGTCCAGGAGCTGTTTCAGTTCAACACATGATGCAGTGTTTACATGAAAGGAGTAACGGCAGGTCACACGACTCCTTCGATGAACCCTGCATAAAACGGCGGAAAAGCGAGGAAGTTCAAGGTCCTGCGCGCACTGCCGAGAACTCGGATTCAGGAAACCCAGATCAAGCAAAGAGCTCAGAGTCAAGAGTGTATCCCCTACAGAGGGTGGTCTTCATTGACAGCACATGGAACCAGACCAACAAGATCAGCACAGATGAGAGACTGCAGGGTAATCATGAAAGATTGCATTTGTGCAGGTTTCAAAGAACACTGACTTCTGGTGATTATTAGGGGTAACTTTACTTCACCCATAATGTAGTTAAACATGATCTCATTCTGTTCTCATGTGCTTTCTGACTGACGTGTGTTCTCCTCCAGATTTGCTCCAGGTAGAGCTGAAGATGAGAAAAACATGTTTCTGGCGCCGTCAGAAGGGTAAACCCGACACCTACCTAGCTACTATTGAGGCTGTTTATTATTTCCTCAAGGACTTCCACGAGCATTGCCTCGCTCAGGAGTACAGCGGAGAATACGACAACCTTCTCTTCTTCTACTCCTACCTGCACTCAGTTATCAACAAAGCAAAGATCTCTGCTGGAAAATGCTGAGAGGAAAAACTGAAACTAGCTGTAAGAGACTGAACTGCAGCTGAAGATGAGATTCAGTTGCAAGCCCAAGTATGATATCCGGTTTTATTTTGTGTGAGTGTTTATTCCATGAGATACGGTGACATCAGTTTGTATAAAAATATGCAATAAAACTAAAAGTTCAGTTAAAAAATGTTAAGCATGAATGAGTTTTTTGATGAAAGCAAAATCCTGCAGTTATAAATATTGGATAATCGCATAAAAATAGAATAAAAGTTTTAAGAAATACTTGTATTTTGGGCTTGAATTTAAAATGTTAAAATGATTTTTCTTGAAAGAAATTGAGCGCATACGACTGGATTTCTACAGGGAAGTTTTGTTTTTGCTCTCACCACTTTGGTTCATTTAAACTACAGAGTATGATTTTCAAAAAATAAAAAAATTAATGTACAATAAAATGGAAGTCCGATACATTTAAATATTTTATTTACAAATCAGTACATATTTGTGTTTGAATAATTAATGTCCCTTATTTTTAAGAAGTGTTAGGATTCTTTCCCACCTTTGTGATGGAATTGCATTTGTTGCAAACCCAACAGACGTGTTCTTCAAAAATGTATATCCTTAAAGCCAATGCTGGATTTATAATGTTTGTTAATCTACTTAAGAACTGCTGTACACAATAATAATGAGTGGTAACTAGTAGTAGGTCTCTCTGATCTTGGCTTGCAGACTGTCACAGGTCTTCTTGGCGTCTCCCAGCAACATTGATGTGTTGGGTTTGTAGAAAATGGGGTTGTCGACTGCAGCGTAGCCCACGCCCAAAGTACGCTTCATCACGATCACCTGGAGAGAAATTTGAAAACAATTCAAGTGTATACGATCGCTTTTTGTGCTATTGTTATTAATCAGTTTATTTAAAAAGGGATCATTCACAATATTAAACATAAATGTTGCCATTTGATGTATTGCACCGGAGTTAGTTTTAAGCTAATTTCCATCTGCAGTCCCTTGGCAGGTCACAATGAAAACATCACAATATTAAAATGTCACAAAAAAGCTGTACTATAAAATACATGACACTATGCTGCTAAGAATCCAGTCATGTTGTTGCATCAACACACTAAGTGTAATTTCACCCTCTGAACCTCAGGCAGTTTCTGGGTGTCTCATCCATTTTTTTTATTCACTGTGGCTCATTTTTAAACTGCAAAATAAAGTCCTGCACCTCTATGGAAACATCACAACAATGACTGTTGGTAGAGAGAACTGTAATATCTCTTCAGTATGACAGTTATAATGCTATTTTTTTTTTTTTTTTTAAATGAAGGTTGAATTTCTTAAACTGTTCCTTTCGCCAAAAATGAAAGAAATAAAAAATAAAAAAAATAAGGGAGAAAACCTGGAATCAATATATAAATTTTTTCCAACTGCCCACTGATGTTACCAGTACTGGAGAAAAAAAATGTGCAAAACTATAGATGTTTAACTTTATTCTATTCTAACTTGTTTCCATACATGTCCCCTCTCAGCAATGCATAAAGACAGCCTGCAGTTCAGTAAAAGTCCCTCATGTTTTAATATTCAACTGTTTGCAGCTGAGTTACTGATTTCTTCACAGTTGTAGCAACAACTTTTTTTTAAATCTAGTCTGCAAACTGTATTTTGGCGAATTTTCATACAAGACCTGTTGAATGAAGTGATTTCAGTTAAATAATGATGTTTAAGCTCAGATGTGGTTAAGTTTCCCAACAGAACCGCATGTTAAAGATGATTAGCTCAAGAACCGTCTGGTGATTCTTTCCCTACTTACTTTAAAGGTAACGTGTATTTCAGGCCTGACATTTTGGGGTTTGGGAGCTTAGTAGGTCAATAAAGATAAACTAACCTGTTTGGACTTCCACACCTCCAGGACAGGCATGCCAGCAATTATAGAGTTGGGATCTTCTTGTGCTGCGGAATTCACCGTGTCATTGGCTCCAATAACCAACGTCAAGTCCGTCTCTGTGGGTCACAAACATTTACACTATTATACACAAGACAGATGAGCACACAAAGCCCTGCGTCACACTTATCTCCCTGCGTAATAAACAGAACCATGTGTCTCGCACCGCATGCCAGGTTGCTAAGAAAACAACTGTTGTCCTAATAACACAACATGATTAAACATCCAGACACAACATGTGGCCGCTCCAAGTGCAGATCAAAAGGTGGACGCATTTATTACACATAATTGATCATCGAGTCCCTTTTTTTCCTTAGAAAATGACAACCATGTAGCAGTAAATACAACAGTTTTCTCTAGAATTAATCTTAAAAGGGTTTTGCCTGGGAAGTCGTCGTTGATCTCATCCATCTCCAGGACCACATCATAGGGAACACCGGCCTCAGCCAAGAGGACGTTCAACTGGCCGGGCATACGACCAGCCACTGGATGGATACCAAACCTGTCGGAGATGGATGTAAAAAATCATTACGGCCCATAAACGCCGAATTGCATCGAAAACTCACACAATGCTCCCTGATCAATGGTGCCATGTTCCTGTGGTGCCAGCAGTAAAAAAAACAACAAAAAAAAGCACCTGTCTCTTTCTAACAAAGTTCAGATTGCTTGTAAAGTGCATGAAAGCAGTGGTGGAAGAAGTGTTTAGATCTTCTTCACCTGACAGCCTTGCCCTGTTCAGTCAGCATCTTCACCATGTCTGCAATTGGGTACTGAGCTTTGGCTGCACACAGACCCCAACCTAAACACAAAAAGTAAAGAAACAAACATTAGCCTTACAATTTTCCGCCTCGATCTAAGGACACAAGTATTGTACCAGTATGTAGAGATTCCTACAGCATCTCAGATTCTGTATCTGTGATTTTGTTTATATCCCTGTTGGAAAAGATATACCTTTGACAGTCTTTGTTCATTCTTAAATAAAAGCACAACAATCCAGCAGGACAACAATAAAACCAGTTATTCCTCTACCCATTATTCTTTTCCTTTGTCCTCCTCTCCCTGTCCTCATCCACCGCAAGTCTCCTCACTGTATTAAATCACAACAGTTTAATGGTCTAGGAGACGTTTTTCTATGAAAACTTGCATGTGTGGTGTGCATTTAGGTCCCCTGCGTGCAAAGAACTGTTTTCCCCGAGTCTGCATAACCCCCATTTAACCCCAGCGGTCAGGTACCTCGTAGAGTTCAGCATTACCCCTAATCGAGTGTTTTTTTTTTTCTAAGTTAGTCACTTGTAACCCGTATCTTCTAATTCCCCAGACAACCGGAGCCTTCTGTTTCCTCACCGCCGTGCTTTGTTGTTGACAGCGCATGGAGAAGTCTTGAGTCTGGACTCAATAGCACTTATGACTTTTCACTGTTTCTCTAATCGAACCAGCATGTTGGACCACACAGCTGTCCTTGCGTTGGTTCGGAGCCATTGGGAAAAACAACAGCAGTCCCAGGATCCAAGGTATTCGGAGAGGTTCCTCTCGCTCAGGCCACTCAACAACTACTCAGCTGTCAGACAAGCCTGGCTTTTTCTGGTTAATAAATCAAGATGTGGTCATTATCTCACAAAATAAAAAAAAAAAACATCATCTTTTAGTCATTGCAGCCAGGTGCCCAGAGGAGCATTTGTGAGCAAACTACTCCCTCTTGTGGTCACTGTGCATTCTGCGTTTAATCAATCCATCATCGGCCCTGATCATTTCCAAACACTTTGCAAATGGTTCTAGCTTTTTTCAGATTTGCTTTTTTGGATCCACATTTTGGCAGAGCAATCAGGCTCAGCGTTTTTGTCAGGTGAATTTAATAAAATGAGAGACAGGTGATGTTATTCATCGAGACAGTTTGAAAAGCTGCAGCTGGACTGCAGAGGAGGATTCACGCTGCGAGGAGAGACTGATGGTAATGTTGTGCTCCACCTCAGTCTCTTATGTCAACCCAAACGTCTTTCTACACTTGTCTCATCAAAATGTTTCAGAATTTTTCAGGAATATCTATCGCTCTCTTCTATGAAACAAGCTTCTGCAACCTTACACATATGCATGGTTTGAAATCTTCATAGAAAACTAGCCTTTGACTCACAAAAATGTCCAAAAAAAATATCAAAGAAAATCTTTTTTTCTTGTTAACATGTTTTCCGGGAGTTTGTTTTTTTTTTTTAGCAGAGCATTACCACCTTAGAAAAGAACCATACTGATGACAGTCTCAAAAACAAGGATTCAGACTTTCACAGTTTCATATGCAACAAACCAAAGAAACCAAGATTAAAACTGTAAAGACAGAAAGAAGTGACACTATCAATCCTCTGTAGTCTGTCCTTCATCTCTGTTTGAAGCTTCATTAACCACTATTACCTACTGGCTGTATATAAAAGATGGACATTGACATCGTGACGTCAGCCAATAGCTTGTGGACTGTTTCAAAGACTCTAGTTTGGCACTTAGCTGTCGCCAGCTCAGACTTTATCACCTTGTTTGTTCTAAAAAGGGAACATAATTTACAAAATTAACATTATGCTGTATTCAAGGAAACTTGAAATGTAAGATTCAGATCATAAACTCATTAGGAAAATGTTTACTGAGGTGGCAAATCAAATGAGAAGTCAGGTTGTTTTCTCATAGACATTAATGTGCCAAGGAGTCGCCTCCTATTGGCTGTTAGAAAGACAGCAGGTTTGAGCCATTTCGGCCTTAGCTTCACTTGTCAGACACGAAGGCTATGTCCATCTTTTATTAGTCTATAGCAAGGATCTCCAACTCCGGTCCTCGTGAGCTACTGTCCTGCAGGTTTTAGACGTTTCCGTAGTGCAACACCTGACTCAGATTAATGGATCATTAACAGACTTGTGTAGAACTTGACAACAAGCTGTTGGAGATCTATTAATTTTAGTCAGGGGTGTTGCAGTACGGAAACATCTAAAACCTGCAGGACAGTAACTCATGAGGACCGGAGTTGGCGATCCCTGGTCTATAGCTACAAACACAACATACTCAAATTGGTACATTTGAGTGTATCAAACAAAATTGCGTTTTGGATAATATAGGGAGCTGGATTTCACGAGGAAAAAAAACACTATTCCCTACCTGGTGTGATGATGATGTTATTAGCTTCCTTGATTATGTCAATGGTCTGGTCCACATTGACCTCGGTGTGAGTGCCAACAATCTCCATGGGTTTGCCGCCCGCTGTGGATGTGGTACCGTATCCACCCAGGATCACATTGGGCAGGGAGCGGTTCATGGCCTCGGAGGAGATTAAGACAATAATTCAGGTAAATGTTAAGTGCACTTAGTTTATGCACATGGTTGGAAATG